GGATGTTAACTAGATGGCTCGATCGAATGTTTCAGGAACTCTTTGGGTTCATTGCTTCAAAGCTTGCAAACTTTGTTGCAAATGAGAATATTCCGGGGCGGTTTCAGTTGGAACAAGGGACGAAAAGGGAGATAGGATTTGCCTTCTCATTTCCAGTGAATCAGACCTCCATTGATTCAGGCACAGTGATCAAGTGGAATAAAGGCTTCGCTGTTTCTGGAATGGTGAGCTATTTTCTTTCCCAAGTTCTTATGTGGTTCTAAATTCTAATTGCCTCTAAAATATTGTTGCAGGAAGGGAAAAACGTGGTTGCTTGCTTAAATGAAGCCATGGAAGCACATGGACTCGATATGCGAGTTTCTGCTCTGGTATGTCTGTTTTTCTTTAAAAAAAATAGATGGAAACTCTTGTTTTGTGCATGCATGTTGTTAGTTTTTAATGTTTGTGTCTTTAAGGTAAATGATACAGTGGGAACATTAGCTGGAGCAAGGTATTGGGACGAGGATGTGATGGTGGGTGTGATTATTGGGACCGGGACCAACGCTTGTTATGTAGATCAGAAGGATGCAATTCCTAAAATCCAAAGCATATCTTCTTCTGGAACAACGGTAATTTATGTTTGCATAGTCTTAGGTTCGTCGTTGTTTCCATGCTAAAATGTTTTGATTGGAATCAGATCATAAATACGGAGTGGGCAGGGTTCTCTAAGATTCTTCCACAAACCATTTTTGACCAAGAGATGGATGAGGCAAGCGTAGATCGTGGTGAACATGTAGTATAATTTTATCCTTTCTTAACATTATGTTTTTTTTTAACTCTATGGTATTACTAGTTTTTACAGTTGTTTACTGTTTGTGTGTGGATGAAGTTATATATGAAGATGATATCAGGGATGTACCTTGGGGAAATTGGAAGGAGGGTTTTGCTCCAAATGAGTGAAACTAGTCACTTGTTTGGACAATCCGTTCCTGTAAAACTATCCACTCCTTTTGCACTCAGGTACTTCTCTCTCTCTATCTTTTCTTTCTCCTATTAAGTTCTGATTTGGTTAGGCATTGGTAATTCGGTTTACGGTTTTGTTATGGCTCAGTTTTTGCGGGTTTAGGTTTTATCAATTTTGTGAAACCAAATGAAATTTATTCGTAATTTGGTTTTGTTTGGTTGGGTGCAATTTCAGTTTAAACTTCCTTTGAAAATTTTATGTTTTGGTGTAATGTTGTAAATTTGGTTCTTAGGGACTTTGAAACTTGAATAGCTATCAAAATGTTGTAAATTTCTAACTGTCAGTTTTATTTATTTATTTATTTTGTTTGGGTTTAGGACCATGGATCTATGCAGAATGCAAGAGGACAAAACAGATGATCGAGAGATGGTTGGATCAATCCTTAAAGAAGTTTTAGAGGTCAGTTATTA